GAAACACTTGCTGAAGCTCGTCGCAGTGGGAGAGATCTAACGACAGAAATAAAAGAATGCAAGAAGTACCAGGTCGTGTGTGTTGATCCAGAACATCTCCGCAGCAAGGACTGGCAAACGATATCCGAATGGCCAGAGTTTCGTTCATGCATTCTGTTCACCGTAATCGACGAGGTTCATCTCATTAACGAGTGGGGTTTAGACTTTCGAATCTCATTCAAGATGATTGGGTTATTTGTCCGCGGCCGCCTACCACCTTCTACATCCGTTGTCGCGCTCTCTGCCACGCTAGCTCCAGGAAAAGATACGGACGAAGTGTGCAAATCCCTCGGCCTCTACGGCAATTCATTTCACCTCATCCGCCGCAGTAATGAGCGGCCCAACGTCCAGCTTATCTTCCAAACACTAACGCACGGCCTCACGAGTTACGAGTTTCCGGACCTTCTTCCATACTTGCTGAGCGGCCGCAAAACTTCCATCCATTGTCCAACCCTCGATATGGTCTTCCGTATTTATGTCTACATCTGGCGACTGCAACCCCCCGACGCGGACAAATTGCGGCGTGCCCGGATGTACCACAGTTTATGTTCTACAGAATACAATGCAGAAACGATTCGCATGATCGACGAGGACCCCAAATGTCAAATTGTCATCGCCACGATCGCTTTCTCAAATGGAATAAATGCGAAATCTATTCTAGACAGCATTTCCATGGGTGTCTCTTCGACCGTGGATATCTTAGTGCAAGAGAACGGCAGAGCAGGTAGAGAAACCGATAGTATCGCACGCGGCGTAGCCCTGGTGCAACCGAGTACCATAACGGCGGCTTTGAAGCAACTAAAAGGTCTGTTTACCCCACTTCTCATTCGAAAAAGCCTCCAATTTTTACGACACAGGCCCGTCAGCTCCCGCTCCGAATCCGCGCGCAATCAAAAAACAGAAAGCCCACAAGAAAGCAAAGAAACCCTCACCGCCGATGCCTCATGATAAGGCCCTTCTTCTCACTGAAACTCACTGTTATGTAAAATAAAGAATGATCGAATTTTGTTTGAGTGGAATTGCTACACATTTGAGCTCACAAAACGTCCCGCAAACAGGCCATTTTGGCCATTTTTAGGGCATTTTGGCCCCAAATCACCAACTTGAAACCCTCCATGCGAGGTCAAATCCTGATCATTTTGATTGAACTAAAGTGTGAGTGTCCTTTATTTTTCAAGTCCTTTCATGCTACCATGACCATTTTTCGATAGCAGACATTTCTACAAAGTCGATTTCTGAGAATACCCCAAATTATTTTATTTCAGGACATTGAACCGGGAAACATATGGTTATCTTTGTACGTAGAAGCTTAGAATCACTCAACATTCATGGTAGCATTTTATTTGAATGGATTCGGTTGAGAAATGAGCCCAAACCACCAGCGGCCATCACTTATGTCAGCCACGAGTATATATAGCTCAAATATAGCGCTTCAGGCACAGTCAATATGTGGTTAAACTTAAAAACATGCAAACATCATATGCGGTTGCGTTTCCGCTCAAGTCCTGACATGCATCCGTGATTTGGCCGAACTTAGGTCATTTTGGCATAATTTGGCCCCTTTCCCCGACAATTGGGCCAATGTGGCCAAATTTCTGAGGCCAAACTAAATTTCTCCCAAATTAGGAAAGGACATTTTTTCTTGATGGATGACCACTGGAATTTTGTCCAATAACGCCCGCCATAGAATTCACTCTCATTACCACGAGTTGACGGTGTGTGCCGGACACCACCGGTGAGTATTGCCGTTCCTCTCTCTGCTCCAGCTTTCAATGTGTGAACGGTGAATCACTTTCGCGGGCAATCCTCGGATCTACGTATGTATAAATTGCTACTACGACGCTGCTTCCCGCGGCCGTAGAAATCCCCTCCCCGCCAGAACCTCACCAAAATCCAATTTATTGAAATAAAAAAAATTACGACTCTGTCAAAACAAGCACCAGCCGGGAATCGAACCCGTCTCCGCCAAATGAAGACACCAGAATTCAAGTACGAGTTGGCGGCGTGTGCCAGACACCACCGGCGCGTATTCTTATAATCTTATTCCTCTCTCTCTCTCTGTTTCCACTGTGTGATAATTCAATAATCTCACCTTCGTGGGTAATGCATGCACGGATCTGGTTCAAATTGAGTGCTATATATGAATTACTACTATGACGCTGCTTCCCCTAGAAATTCCTCCCCGCCAGAACCCCACCAAAATCCAATTTGTTTCCAATCAAAAAAATTGCAATCCTGTTCAAACAAGCACCAGCCGGGAATCGAACCCGTCTCCGCCGAATGAATTTGTAGAAACATCCAAATACGAGTTAGCGGCGTGTGCAAGACACCACCGGTACATATTCGTATTCCTCTCTCTGCTTCACTTAATCCCACCTTCGTGGGCAATGCATGCCCGGATCTAGTTCAAATTGCGTGCAGTCGAGAATCAAAGGTGCTACTATGCTGGTCAGCTTTTCAGTTACAGTCAGTAATTCAAACGAGCGTATATTAGCAGGTCGTATCCAAGACTAAGTCCAAACTACTACATGTACAGTAAATAGGCCCGAGTCCGCGCTCGGTTTTATCCCACCCACCTTCTTCCTCTTCCTCTTCCTCTGCCTCTCCCGCAGGAATCAACAAATCATCAAGAAAAAACCATTTTAAAGAGTCCATTTGAACTCAGACCCGCGACCTCCCCCAGATATTTTCAAGACACTAAACCTCCCCATGAATCATCCTCTTCCCCCTCTCCACCCTCTCCCGATCCCCCCTCACGCGCCCCGCGAGTACAGACGCCTCCCCGCGCAGCGTGCGCAGGAGCGAGGCCCGGCGCGAGAGTTTCTCCGTGGGCGTCACGTGTGGGTTCGCATCGTCGGGCGAGTCCGCGCCACTTGCGGTGGTGGTATCCAGGCTGCTGCCTCTTACGTGCCCCGCACCCCCAAACGCACTCGGCGGCGCGCCCGTGCCCGCCCCCTTCCCCGTACCCTTCTCTCCGCGCCGGGTGCGCAACGACGCGAAGCGCTTCACGCTCGCTGAGAAGCCCTTCTCGTGTGAGGCGGGGGAGGAGGGCGCGGTGCTTGCGCTTGCGTTTGAGCTGAAGCCCGAGCCCGAGCCCGAGCCTGAGGATGCTGGGGAGGCGGGCGTCGTAGTAGCTGCGGGCGGATCCAACGCGCGAGTGGAGTTAGGCTGAGGAGCAGGCGCAGGAGCAGGGCGCGCCACCGCGGACGTCAACACGCTCGCGAAGGGCGCGACGCTCGGCAGCGGTTCCACCCGGCGGGCTTCAGGTCCCAGAGTGGAGTCGACCGTCGTCGGTGTTGTCGTCGCTGTTGCTGTCGACGTACGGCGCTGGTCGGGATCCGAGTTGGCGGTGGAATCTACGCCTGACATGGTGAATGTGGAGCCGGAGTCTGAACCGGTGGGGAAGGCACCCTGCCCCTGCGTCGGCGTGAGCGTCCCGCGCGACGAGCCCGAGCCCGCGTAAGCGCGCGTGCTGAAGTTGCTCGCGGAGCTCGTGCTGCCGTCGGTGTGCAGGGCCACGCCGGGGGTGTCGCCAGCTGAGTTTGCGGCGGGGGAAAGAAATTCGCTCGAGGAGGTGGTAGTGTTCGAGGATTGGGTGGCTAAAGGAGATAACAATATTAGGATCGTGTTTGGCAGGACGGAATGAAGAAAAAAGAGAAGACCACGCACGGAAATACGACGCTACCGCTGGGGGCAAGTACGCCTTAGTCGCAGCAAGGAAACCTGTTTTCGCCTCCGTCTGACTCTGAGTCTGAGGGGGTGCACGGTCCCATTGGTTGGCGGAAAAGACGACGCTGTTGCGCGGATAGCCGCCCGGGACCTGGGGGCCGGGGGTGGATGGCATGGAGGTGAGCGGTGGGGCTTTAGGCGGGCGTGCGGTAGACATGGCGGGTTATTCTGATGTCGAAGCTGACCAGAGACGAGGCGGACGTGCGTGGGGTGGGAGCACAGAAGGGAGATTACTAGCGTCATTGGGCGGCTAGCCTTTATGGTGGCCATAGGCGACTCCATAGGAGCCTAGATGCTGAAGCGTGCGGTGACGTCGAGGCCAAGAGGAGTTATTCAACCTGCACGTGTTGATGCGCCAGATGCCGGGATCAAAGCTCTCACGCCGTTGCCTTGTGCCGTAGTTTGGCCGTAGTTGGTTTTTGGTGCGGATCCCATGAGAGCAGGTCATTGTTTGCAGAAAGACCAGGGGGATTTGGGCCTGGTGCGCAAACAACCGAACAAAACTATAATTTCCAATTTTCATTTTTCGGGGGAAACATCGGGTCATCGATGGAAACGCATCCTAATCTTGCAAACATCAGAGCCACATACAGAGATTCAATGCGCACCAGTGATGTCCGGCACACACCGCTTTATGGTTCGATCCATTTCACCAACACGATAATCAGGCGGAGACAGGTTCGACTCCCGACTGGTGCATGAGTAGGAATCGGACTTGTTTTTCCTCACCCAGAGTTTTCTTTGGGATCAGGGGTCGGGGGCATCACTAAGGCAAATATTCAAGCGTCGATGGGCAGTGGGAAGCTCAAAAAAATCTAATCCCTGGCTAGGCACAAGCAGTTCAACCATTAGATTCGTGCATCTCATTGAAGTTGGATCAGTCAGAATGCAATACAGAGAATAATGCACCGGTGGTGTCCGGGACACGCCGCCACACATTGTAGGATTTGCAGCGGTATAAAATTTGCGGCGCGTACGGGGTTCGACTCCCCGCCGGTGCATCACATAGCATCTGGATTCTTTTTTTTTTTTTTAAATGAAAAAGTGTGGATGTTGATGTGTCTTTCTGCCCGCCGTCAAGATTTGGGGAAGTAGGAGGGAGTATTAGTGTTCTCCGACTGGCTAACGGTGACATAAATCAAGCGAGTCTGAGCAGCAAAGAGACTCCCGGAAGTCCTGAAATGTGGTGTCAAACGTTTTCCACAACCAAAGTCCAGCACCAAGGCAAATACGCATCGGTGGTGCCGGGGACACGCCGCCTTACTGTTCGACTATTTCTACAAAAATCAGGCGGAGACGGGTTCGAATCCCGGCTGATGCTTAAGATGGCAGCTGCTTTTTTTACCAAGCTCTTTGGCAGTGATGTTGAACGAAATAAATATTCAAGCACCAATGGGCAGTGGAAAGCCAGTTAGACATCAATACCTGGTCGAATACAAACGCCTTGACCCAATTGAACGGGCCTCCCGTGCTTGGTTACTTAGCGGCGAATGCAGCATTGAGAGGAACGCACCGGTGGTGTCTGGGACACGCCGCCTTGATGTTCGGGTTTTCTAGCGAGGAGAATCCGGTGGGCACGGGTTCGATTCCCGACTGGTGCATAGATCCCCCATGGCCATTTTTTATTGCCCAGCTATTCGGCAGTGTCAAGCGAAATAAATATTCAAGCACCGATGAGCAGCTAGTGAGAAATCGAATACCAGGTTGAACACAAGCAACTCGAACCAATTGATCGTGCATCCCATGCTTCACGTTGGATAAGTGAGTGAGAATACAGCAAAGAGAACAGCGCACCGGTGGTGTCCGGTACAAAACGCCGAACTGTTCGCTATTGGCCTGCACGAGAATCAGGCGGAGACGGGTTCGATTCCCGGCTGGTGCATAAGGACAAGCGCGAAGTCTTTTTATTGCGCGCTTTTTTTGGCGGTAAGTCTCGTGGACATCATTAGAGTTAGACTCGTAACCAGTCTGCCTACGCCATTCTAACAAGGCGGGCTTGTTGCCGTAGGCAGACTGGTACTTCTCGGAGCTGTCAATTGGGCTGGGGCGGAGTTTGAAATTAAGTCTTGACTTGAGTGGGGCCGGTCAGAAGCGATGACCAACCGATGACGCACATCCGCATTTAGCTC